CGAAAACAGCACGTAGACGCGGCTCAGAAGGGAAATCGGTCTGTAGTTCTTCAAGAGAGCGTTGTCGCCTTTCTTGAAGAACAAGACCACCGCACTTCTGCTCCGCGCCTCCGGAGTAGTACCACTACGGAGGACGGAATTAAAGACCTTCTGAAGGACTTCAAGTACCGGTTTTCCACTCGCTTTCAAAAGCACGCTGTAATTCCATCCTCGCCCGGGGACTTGCCGTTTTTAAGGTGCTGGAGAGCCATTCTAATCTCGCTCAGACTGACGTCCGGGATATCTTCGAAATAGTGTCGGATAAGACTCGCTCTTGGATCGTTACTCACACTTGCGTGTGGCTCCAACGATGACGTGTACAGCTGCGCATAGAACCTCTCAATCTCACTCAAAATCTCAGGTGTCCCGGAAACGATGCTGCCACACTCGGTCTTCAGCCTTGACAATTGGCTCTTTCTGGCAGACAGATCTCTGGTAAAGACTTTGGAGCCTTGGTTCCGCTCGATCGCTTCTTCAATACAAGCTGTATTGAAGTTGCGTAAGTCCCGCCGCATGCATTTGGAGATCTGTCTGTTCAGATGCCTGTATGCTGTCAAATCTGTTGAAGAATGTAGCTTCATCTACTGTTTAACAGCCATGAGATTAAGAGTGTGATCGCAGAGTTTTTGTGTTCTTCTGCGGCTGATCTTGCAGAACTTAGCTCCGACCGCATGGACAGTTTCCACGAGCTTGTCATTCATATCGTCCATTTCATTGCAGTCTTCTAGGCACTGAAAACGGTTTTGTAACTCGAGCTGAAAGGTTTCGGGATTTTGGATTAGAGCACGAGGGGGACGGAGCGTTGACTTCATCAGACGAGACCTATCCAACTTCACGTTTAGGTTCAGTGTGCCTCTAACAATTCGGTGATCGCTACCAGTTTTCACCCTCGCGATCACGGAGACATCACTGAACAGTTGTAGTCTGGTCGTCATAATGAATTCAATCTCATTTTTTGTCGAACCGTCGAGGCTCGACCAGGTCCACTTCCTGTGGGGCCGCTTCTGGAAAAAAAGAGTTCATCATAAAGAGTCCCTCTTTATCCATGAAATCGGCCAACTGCTGGCCCCTTGGGTTCCGTTGCACTATTCCAAATTTCCCTATTTTCAGCTCACCGTTCTCTCTTGTGCCTAGTTTTGCATTGAAGTCTCCCATTAACACCGTATAGTGGGTTTTGGAGGAATGCATGGCTCTAGAGATATCCTCATACATTTCCTCCACCTCCTCATCGGGATGTGCCGAGGTTGGTGCGTAAACCTGTATGACCTTCAGCGAATACCGTTTGGTGATTCTGAGTATAGGGTACGTAACACTCTCAATCTTTACAACGTTGTTAACGAGAGACTTGTGGACGATAAAGCCTTGGGACAGATGGTCGCGCTCCCAGTGATAGAGCAAGTTGCCCGATTCTAGGATTACCGTGTCCTCCCTCTCTCTTCGGACCTCGGATAATCCTATAATATGCCAGCGTAACTTGTCTATCTCTTCTTCCAGCTCCACGATCTTCTCGTCAGTCCTCAGGTTGCGTGCGTTGTATGTTGCCAGGTCGAGTCATCTTAGGTGGCAACCGAACCTCCACCGGAGATTCTTAGCACCACCTGCCCTGCCGTTACCATGGTCGCCACCGTAGGCAGGAATAGCGGGGCCGCCGGGGACTGGGGGCCGTCTCTTTGTTACTCTCATCATTTGGGGGTATTTGCCATAGTTGCCACGCTTGGCGAGCGGGTTGGCAACCGCAGTTTTTTTATTGTAATTTTGCTGTTATCAGGAAGATGCTGCTGCCCATCTCCTGCCTGTTTCCCTTTGTCGCCTTTTACGACACCCACGGGAATATATGGGGTAGTGGATATTCTTAACCGCCACTACACGGCACATATATAAGGGTATTTAGTATTGTACATTTCAGTTTACAGATCATTGTTTTCTTTTTATTTAAGTATAGACTTGTTACCATGCTTGTTGTGCAGACGATACCAATTACGACCTGCTTCATAATATGTGTGTTTTCAGTGAGACAGTTTGTAGGAAACAATTGTAATTACCATTGTCATATTTTACTTTGTATGTTTTTCTTTCATATCTTTTGTTTCTGTTTTGTCTCCAATAAAGTAAATAATCATACCCCATATCATCCCATGGGTATCGCTGCAGGTGACAGCAGCATCGTTCTGATACCGTTACCGTTACAGCTTATTAAAGTCCACTGCTGGACATAGGCCTCCCCCATAGATTAAATCATAGGGAGATATTTGCGATAGTTGCCACACTTGGCATGCGTAGGTTATTTTTTATTTTTAGTTGTTATTAGGAAGACGCTGTCCCATCAAAATCGGTCCAGCCGTTTTGCAGATTAGCCCGAACAAACAGACAGACAAAAATTTAAAAATTGTGTTTTTGTTATAAGTACCGTATATACTTTCATATACATTTAGTAAATGGCTGTTATTTTGACGTGACAAACAGACACTTAAATTTTATTTATTTGAATAAATTTAATATAAACATTGTAATACCCAATAAGTGCGGTTAAGTTGTAAGAAACGTCAAATTATAAATTAACACTAAATGTAATAATAACACTTAACTTACAGTAAATAGCGTACGTGAGGGTAATATGGTCACTTTCTTATTCCTCAAAAATTACAGCTTTGTTTGCATAAATGACTCTGATACGATAGCTCTTTATCAGTCAATCAAATAATATAGGGTCAAAAGAGCGCTGCTTTATCGACGCCATTTTGACAGTTGACATTATAGATTTTCTACAGATTTATTATATGTATAGATTAACTGAGTCGCTCAGTGGAAGAATGGCCCAAGCCTTGTACATAATGTATGGATATAATCATATAATGAGCATTAATCGTCTGCGAATTACATTATTACTGATATTTTAGTATTTTCTGTAGTTATGTTAAAATAAAACATATGATATACAAAGTACTAATTTCATTGTTAGTTTTATGCTTACAAACTAATATACAACTTATTATTAAAGAAAAATGTCCGTTGTTTAGGCCACTATTCTACCTAATTAGAAAGTTATTCTTGGGTTGGGTCATTATCATAGAAGTCAACTTCATTATCTTGTAATAACGAACTAATAATTACTTTATTATTACATATGTATTTTTATTAAATTTCAACAGTTATTTATTATTTACCTCTACGCTATAGACTAAAGAGCCAAAGACTAGGCTAAAGACCTTCAATAGTGTCTGTATTAAGTCTATTGCGTTGTTTTGTCTTTATTAAATTTATAGATGAGACCCTCTCTACGGCGACACTGGAATGAGGTAGACTTAAGATTGCCGAATCAAATTTGGACAGCGTAGGATACTCGTATAATAGCTGATTGCTGTAGTTAGCAGGATCACTGGCTGCAGTGACTTTACACCAGTAGGTTTCGAGATCTGAATCATCAAGAATAACGTTTGCGAGCTAGATCCTTCAGGACTTGATTTTACGTGTTTATTTGTTTTCGTGTGTTTGAAAATATCATTCTTCCCGGCACTTCCAATTGAAAGATCTGTGTTACAAAATGTTAAAAAAGCAAAGTAATCATCTTTATTACTAGGTCTCAACCACGCCTTATAGGAAGAACCTTCCATCCAATTCCGATTCAACATTTACGTCACTTTTGTTTACAAAAACAGAATAAATATTAATATTTAATAAAAGTTTCTATCTATGTTTTAAATATTTACGTATTAACTACGCACATACGACACGACAAATGCGATAGCGAAGTACCTTGAATAGCACAGCATGCAAAAATCTTTGGGGGATTTCCTGAGCAAAGCGAGTGACACTTGTAATGCTGCCATACTAACAAAGTAACTAATTTCGATGTGAAAAAAAAACCATAAAGAATAAAATCATGCAATGATATCTGACGCGATATCTAGTCATATATTTTGTTTCATTCTGTTTTAAGTTGAATATTATAGTAATTTAATCAGTAGAGTTTGAAAACTGTATAAAAATCTGTATCCAGTGCTAATCTGTATTACACACCGAAAATCTGTATAAATACAGAGAAATCCGTATAATATGGTAACACTGGATGACAATGACATAAGTTAGCAAATGTGATTAGCAATTTTAGCTTGGCCATATTTAAAAAAACTTTTAGAGTGGTTTGGGCCACTATTCTGTAGTATTAAAATTATAGGATGCTGAAGATTAAGAGCCTATCAAATAATAGGCCAATTTTCTTATTAAAGTAACTACAAATTTATAATGGAATAAGAATATTGATCAACGCCATCTACTCAAATAACGTAAACTAAATTTGAGGCCACTGTGGTTTCAAAGATCGATACATCTAGATATGTAATATCTACTTAACTCTGTTTCTATAAATTTGTGGATTAGGCCACTCTTCCGCTGAGCGACTCAACTATTTTTGAGTTGATTTTTCGAAGTGTTCGTAATTATTGCCAAAGCTTGTTTGCTATTTTTTCCTTACCGTACCGGGTAGTGGCGGTGTAAAAATATCTACTACCCCATACCATACTGTGCGTGTCGTGAGACAGAGGAAAACAAATCAGTGGTTGAGCGGAGGGCAGCATCGTCATCCTAATAACGACTTCAAATAAAAATCAGCGGTTGCCAACCCGCTTGCCAAGCGTGGCAACTATGGCAAACGAGGTTACGAGGCAATCTATGGGGGAGGCCTATGTTCAGTTATGGTATATGACTTTGTGTTTGTCTCTGTCTTCCTCCTAGTTTTGGTTTTATAGGACGCTAAAATTTATGGTTTTTTTTATAGGATATAATTAATGTTAATATTGTTTGTGCCTAATGTATGGAAGGGACTAGCTCCTGACATACAGGATTCCTAGTCCAGGAGCTTGGGCTCAATCGGAACACGTGTAACATTTATTTGAGCTCTGATAAAGTATTAAAGCATATTAAAGTATATTATATTAAAGTTGTATATTGCACCTCGTTAGCAGGTGCCACCGCGGCCGGCCGGGCAGCGTACGGAGCCCGAGAACAACAGCGGCTTCCCCGGCTTCGGCTTCGGCGAGGGCTTCCACATGTCCTTCGGCATCGGAGCCTTCCCCTTCGGTGTCTTCACCTCCACGTTCAACTTTGGCGATTCAAGACCTAGCGCTGGTTAGTATTTTTTTTTCTCATTTGAAGGTACAACAATTTGCCGTATTGATGGCGTAAGTAAGTGTAACTTTTTTTATTTAGTACTAGCTGTTCCCCGCGATTTCGCCCGCGTGTAATTTAGGGTTTAAATTTTTTGGCGAGGAATCCTAATTGTTTTTTTCTAAAATAAAATTAGCCTAAGTTACTCCTTATGACATCAGCTATCTGCGAGTGAAAGTCCCGTCAAAATCGGTCCAGCCGTTTCGGAGATTAGCCGGAACAAACAGAGAGATAGACAAAAATTTATAAAGTGTATTTTTGTTAAAAATACCTTATACATATACTTTCGGTATTTAACTTAGGCTTTCAGCTCATAGTATAGTCTGTTAAACCGAAGTAGAGTTTACTTTGTTAATACTTTATTTCAATTATGTATTCTATTTTCAATCTTGTTTTGGTTGTTTCAGTGCATTACTATTAATTGTCTTGAATGCAGGCGGGTTTTTGATTTTTTTTAATTATTTATTTTACTACTGAAAAAGAAGCATCTGCATTTTGATTCGCACGAGGATAAATGTTGATGTCTATGGGCCACGGCACCACTTACCATCAGGTGGACTATATGCTCGTTTGTTACCCTATCCTGTATAAAAAATCTATAATTAGAAATCCAAATACAGATGCGTTGTTACCCCTGAGAACTAAGATGGAATGCCTTGATTCCAGTAAAATTGTTCTCTGGTTCTCCAACTCAGCATACAAAACACAGCTGTATTAAGCTGCTATTTAACGCTTTTCTGTGAGAGTGTGGTCCTTCACCGGCCGAGCCTGCCCATTCGTGCTACAACCATAATATTATAGCTGCAGCGTGGCTCTACCGCGTTATAAATGATTTTGGCTAGATCAGCGCTAAGGTTTTCTTATATTCTATAACTTTGTTAGTTCGTAGAATTTGTTTGCTAGATGTCTAATAGCAGCGGCATAACTGGGCTTTTAGCAAATTTAGAAGATTACCAGCGGCTTGACTCACTGGCATTGCGTAGAGATGCTGCATGTTATCGCATCTATCACGGGGAGTGCTCTGCGGAATTGTTCGGACTAATTCCAGCCGCTCAATATCACCATCGCACATCGCGACAAAACTCGCGGTACCATCTATACCATCTGGATGATTGGCGGTCCACCACTGTGCGATTTAGAAGAAGTTTTCTTCCTCGCACAACTTCCTTGTGGAATCGATTACTATTCGTTTTTTAAAACCAAGGAGTTTTCAATTAAAAAGATTTTAATATGACAGAAACAGTGGAAATATTCCATTCCCGATACTTTTAGTGCAGCCTATGTAATGCATTATTTTAACTGATTTTACTGCGCACGCACACATTCGTAAGGCTCGATCGGTAGCTTCGATCAACAATATGGTATTGTTGATCGAAGATCGGTAGGGATAAACGTTGTTGCCCATAAATCACATTCAATTTGGGATAATTTCAAATAAAAGTAGAAGCTTTATTTACTCGTATTTTCAAACACTCGTTATTGCTTATATATATATTATTTGAACTTAAGTTAAAAATTTGGCTACTCTTTGAAAATGACCCTGTATATTATCGTAAAAATAATAATGCGTATTGCAAAACTTTGTAAAAACTAAAATTCTGTTTATTAGTGTTTCCTCACAATGTACTTTTTTGCACGTATTAGTACGGGTCAACACACTTGGTGGTACAATTAATTTAAATAAAACCGTGCAGTGCTTGAGGATATTTTATTTTTAACTCAAATTTTATAAGGCGTAAACATCTCGTCTCCGATAACCGGTCGGCAAGCATCGAGTTCACCGTTACCATTATACCTTCTACGTTAATATTCGCAGTATGTGTGTCAAGGAACATGTTGAAAGAACTCTCAAAGCGAGAGGTAAATTGAAAGTACTGTCTTTATTAAATAGAAAACTGTAAGATACGGCTTAAAGATATTTTTTTTATAGAATAAAGGTGACCAACGAGCACACAGTCCACCTGATGGTAAGCGGATGTTGTGGCCCACAGACATCAAAGTCGTCTATCCTCGATTAAGAATTAAAATGTAGATGCGTTTTTGTTTTGTTTACGAATGGCTCGTTTTCAGTAAAAAAGGGTATCCGGTTCTCTACACTCACCATACTAAATACAGTAGCATCGAGCTGCTATTTTACGCTGCACGGCTAGCATGGGCTGGGGACAAAAAATTTATCAACCGATTATATTCACTGACAAGGGATAAAATTATCTTGTCCTTATGCCGAAGCACTCAACGGGGAGAAGTATATCCCCGTTTGATATAACGAGTAGACATATATCCCCGTCCGTAGCATGAAGCCAAATGAAAATAAAAAATATGCTTTTTTGATACTTGAAGGAAACCATTTTGTTGTTACCAAACACAGCTTTATATTTTTTAATAAATCCCTGGGGAGCCCCAGCCCATAGATGGGAACAGTATACCATGTGAGGCCGAACCTGCGCCTTGTAAAGTGGCAGGCGGAGTGCCGGCATTAAATACTGTCCCGCTCTGCTGAAAGCGCCAAGCTTTTTAGATTCCAATTTGGCCTTCTCTTCCAAGTGAACACGAAATTGCACATCACTCGATATGTCGACCCCGAGGATTCCGATACTGGCTGAGGCAACAAGGGGAGTGCTTTGAAACTGAGAAAATGCTCCGATCTGCAAGAAAGCTGGTGATCCAATTGTACAATTTCTCGGGAAGCCCATAGGAAGAGAGCTTCGAAAGAAGCGCTTTGTGCCAAACCCGATCGAAAGCCTTCGCAATATCCAAACTAACGGCCAATGCCTCTCCCTTGGACTCTACTACCTCCGACCATCTATAAGTCAACTAAACCACAAGATCACCAATTGATCGAACCCTACGAAAACCGTATTGGCGGTCACTAATGAGCTGGTGGTCCTCAAGGTACCGCATGAGCTGACAGTTTATAATGGATTCCATTATTTTGGAGAACAATGAGGTGATGGCGATAGGCTTGTACTTAGACGGGTCTGAGCGGTCGCCTTTTTTAGGGATCGCGTGGACGAAAGCTGTCTTCCGTGAATTCGATACTACGCCTAGGCAGTCAGATTACCAGAAGGGACGCGTTAGAACCGGTGCCAACTCGGGATCACACGTCATCAGCTCAATTGGAGGGATTTGCAGGCCCACTCGACTTGTTAATGTCCAGAGAGAGGAGTGCTTTTTGAACCGAGGGCTGTGTGAACTGCACATCCGGTATGTAGCACTCACACCACGGGATGGTCGGCGGTGTGCTCCCCCTGTCATCGTAAGTCGAGTTGGATGCAAAGAAAGAGCCTAGCAAATCGGGTTTCTCCTTTGCGGCATTGGCCAGTGAGTCATCCTCCCTGTGCAGAGATGGAAGAGATGGCTGACAGGTTCTCGAAGGAAGGCGAACTAGTTTCTCGACAATTCTGTTGTATGCTCTGACTTTGCCTTAGCAATGACTCTTTTGAAGGACCTGGGGGTGGAATTGTAATTCTTTTTAAGGGCGCTAGTGGTTACATCCCGGGACGTTGAATCGTCAGCCCAGGCCCGGTAGCACTCCTGCTTATAGCGTGATCCAATTTTACAGGAGCGACCAAATCTTGACTGAGATCTATCCTCCGATGGGCACCACAGAGGAAGGAATAAAAAGTTCCATAGCCTGAAGTAACACATCAGCGACAGAATTAGCAACAACGTTGGGATCGTCCGGCAAGAAGAAAACCCGCCCACAAGGGTAAGATGCAAAGAAGGACCGCATCCAATACCAATCGGCGACCTGTAGTGCCAAACACGGCGACAGCCTGCAGAATGCAACCGCAATGTTAGTGTGAATGATACCACACTCCAGACTAGACAATGGTCCAAGGAACCAAGAGGGGCGTCGGCGGAGACCTAATATCTAACCGGATGAGAGGTCAGCAGAAGGTCCAACAGGGAAGGCGCATGATCATCAACATCTGGAATTCGCGTAAGCGAAGTAACCAGTTGTGTCAGAACATATGCCAAGACAAAAACATGAACAGATCTTCCCGCATGATCGGTTAAACGTTAACCGAGCCATTTGGCGTGGTGGGCGTTACAATCACCGAGGATCACGATCTCTACGGATGGGATCTGCTGTAGCAAGGAATCTATAGCCATTTGGACGTAGTCGATGAATCGGTCTGTTTCGGCATTACCGCTATGGGACCTATAGAGGCAACCGTAGACGCGTAATGGTCGTTGCTCTCTACGCGTAGCCAAATGCTGGACAGGTCCGAAACTTCAAAACTGCCGAGCCGTCGAGAACAGATGTCCTCTCTGATGTACACACAAACTCCAGCCCGAGACACAAAGGGGTGTTCCAATTTGTACCCCGGATAGGAGAGATACAAAGGATCAGCTAGAGAAGATGCCAGCCAGTTTCGGTCAGTAACAGCAAGGCCGGCTTCTCCATCTCGAGATGGTAGTGGACAGCATTTAGGTTAGAGGGAAGTCCCCTGATGTTGTAGAAATTCACGGAGAGCGTGGCTGGGGTCGCCTTGGCCTTGTTGCTCAGTTTGCCCCGATTAGTTATTGTCTTAAGCGGAATTTTGCCAGATGCAATGCAGAAGCAGAACTTACACTTCACGACGGTATTCTGTGAGGTCCATTGTTAACACCACACAACAATACACGTTCACTCGGTGAAATATTCGACTCGACTGAGTGAGCAACCAGCGTGGTGAGCTGACAAGGCAAACTAATGCGGCCGGGCCGCGCGTGTGAGCGGGAAAGGAAGTTGCTCGTCGTCGCGACGGCGCCGACATGAACTCACGGCGACGGCGGCGCGCCGGCGCGGCGCTCATATCTAGCTCGAAGGCTGGATAAAATTAAGCGAGGTGATAAAAATTTTCTCCTTTCCCCGGGGATAAAATTGTCTCCTGCCCATGCTAGCCCGGATGGTATTCTGTGTGCGTTATAGCGTCCATTTTCTCTCATTTCTGAGTTTTACAGAGCACTTAGTCTAAAGCTGCGCTGGAACTGGAGTGCAAGCTTGAAATTTTCTAACAAAAAAAATCGATTATCGAATTTTTGTTTCGTCGTCCAACCGTCACCAATATTAATTTTGAGCTTTATCCTTACATCATGGAAATGATGACGATATATCAATATTTATCCGAACGTCTCGTTGTCGGATGGTGCAAAGGGAAGGAATTAAATCATGTAATTCCTGCACAAACTCATATTTCGTATATTTTTATATAAGGGTAATAAATTAGCACACAGTCCACCTGATGACAAGTGGATGATATGGCCCATAAACATCTAAGTTAAGAATCAAAATGCGGATGCGTTGTCACCCTTAAGAACTTAGTTGGAATGCTTCGTTTCCAGTAAAAAGGGTCGTATTCTGTGAGAACGTGGTCCTTCGAGACGACCAATTCGTGCTATAACCATAATGTACCTGCAGCGTGATTCTATCACGTTATATTTTTTTTATTATTATTTCAGCACCACACGGCACAGCGCAGTACGAAGAAGAACAGTTCCTCTCGAAGATTTTTCTCTGGGTCGCCATACTGTTCGTGTTATGGTTGATCTTCGCATGACCGCAGGGCGTTTCACCGAGCGCCTACAGTCTTGTTACGAAGACGCAGGCATCACCTCACTTGATTGTTTGATTCCTAAATGCCATTTGTATTGTGAACACCACTCTTTGTCTAAACTAAATAAAAATGCCCAATCATCAGTGGCCTTAATTCTTTTTAATAAAATAGTTTACTGGTATATTTCAAAGTTTTAATTATGAAGCTTAGGCCAACAAAGATGACGCAATACATTTGAAGTAACGACGAAACCAAGCCAACGTCATGTTAAGTTCTTTATTTGGTAATGTACTCGAGTGATTGTAACTATTGCCAGTATCAAGTAAGAATACCTTATCCTTTATAGCTTCTTCACAGTATGTGGCGTCACATTGCGAAATATTATCTCAAGGGGCGCCTAAGCCGACACATTATCTTGAGGTTTACATCACCATCGGAGCACTTGTTTCGTCGTTTCCACTAATAGTTCATATGCGCAGACATAAATACACAAAAGTGCACCACGTTTAATGTCAAAATCCTCTTCAAACCATCATTTGTACAATAATACAGGAGCATCAATCCGCCAGCCGGTCACACACATATGCATCTAAAACTAACATGATTTAGGTGCATGTGTATGTCCAGTAGTGGACTTATACAATCTGTTAAAGAAAGTTGTTTTACAAAAAAAAAATTGCATGGTTTCGGCGTCACTTCCCTCCGTCTTTGTTGGTATGAGTTTTAGGATATATTATTTTAAATCCAAAAGTGGATTGTGTGGTTACGGTGTTATCTATAAGAATAAAATCACTGCATTTTGTTAGCCTCATATGTATAAAGTGTTGTCCACACTGCGGTGGATCTCTAGAGTATATTGACGAATAAGAAAGGCGTATATTTGACTCTTTTCATGCAACAGATAAAGACAATTAGCTGTTGGTAAAAATAAGTGGGTGTTTTTTTTTGTCTTTATATTATGTTTGAAATGTAAACAGATTTATTTAATTAAAGATGTTAGAAGTTAAGTAGTTAAGATCCGCGTAATAAAATAAAAAAATATGTTGTACCTTTTATGAAGACCTCTCCACCTCCACCTCCCGCCCTCCCTGAAGAGGGCTAATAATTTTACGCTCACCAGATGTCGCTAGCTGGGACTAAGACGAATTTACATTATATTATTACGTAGACAGTCACACAGCGTCATCGTCACTGAAGATGCGATTTAAAATTTTTTTTTCGGCTTCTAGTGTGTGTTAACACTAAACAATGCAACAGTGCTGTGGTCTTTAAGTTTTTACACATTTTAAACATTTTTTAATTTTTTTAGGAATATGCGTAATTTGTTTTATTCGTTTATAATCTAATTCATTTAAAATATAACTAATATTTCAGAAAGAAACATTAATCTCTACACTTTTCTAACAAGTTAACATCCTTGCCATAAAATCTGTCAAATATTTCACCTCATTGCTAAATGGCGCCGCCCTGGTGGCTAAAAATTCGTGGATTTGCGTGCACACTATCCCCGTCACCACTAATCCTAACATCACTACACGAGGACAATCACACCACTGTCGATAACACGCCACGTGTTTCGCCTCTGAACGACAGACGATGACGATTGCGAGGCTCGTAGCTAATTGATTTTAAAATCTTTAATATAATAATGGATTTCAGCAAAGTAACGTCTGATTCTATTGATCAGTTTTATTTTAATATACTATGTATATATTAAATTTCATCTACATTTTCAATTTATAGTAAAAAGAGTATTTTTTTTTAATTTAATTGTGTACTGTTTATTTTGTGATATTTTACGCGTAGGGTATTTTATGCATTCAAACATTTTAAATGTAAAAATGGCACGAAGACATTTGACAAGGTCTAATAATCCTTCGCTAACCAGATGTCGCTAGTTGGGACTGAGGTGAAGTATTTTTTTAGAGAATGTAATTTAATTGAAGTTAGTTTTAAATAAGTTTATCATTTTCTGAAATATTTAATTAATAAACAAAGCAACGCCTCAGTGGTTTTCTCCTTAATAACTATTTATTTTCTACTTTTAGGAATATCTTTAGTTTGGTTTATTCATTTCTAAAATAATTTATATAAAAAATATAACTAAATATTACAAAAAGAAACATCCCCGCTATAAAATGTGTCAAATATTTCACCTCATTCCAAAGTGGCGCCGTCCTGGTGGTAGAAAGTCGTTGAGAAAAGGTCGCCGTCATTGATTAAAGCTTGTAGCATTTTAGTGTGGTAGATTGATATATTATGTTTAATACTTCTGTAATCTATTTGTATATATTTAAATTTCAAGTGTTTAATGTAAATTATTAAAATAAATTATGTACTGCTAATTTTTGTAAATCATTATTATGATACTTCCTCTATATTTTGTTAGTATAGAACACAAACACAATTTGTTATTGTTTTCACACGCTTTATTCTTAAAGTAAATTAAACATGGACAATTAACTGAACTAAATTATAGGAATTAAGTGATTACCTTTTTACAGATTTAAGGCTAAAGATACAATGTTTGAATTTCAATTAGAACATCTTTACATGAATATGTTTTAGATAATAAAATAATCTATAACGTGGGTTGGTTTGGTATCCTACGGTACAATTTCGATGGTGATCTTAGTCTTGATCGATGAATAATGCTCTGATGTACGCCGTAGCGGCTTTTTACGCGGAAATATGTAGTTAAAATATTATTTTTAAAGTTTTAGAGGTTCGAAATCGTTTTACATTAAGGAATCGGTTTTTCAGATCGATTCAATGAATCAATTCAAGATCCAGTTGAATCGCCAACCATGTAGGCTGATAATGGTATTCAAAGGTTCACTGCTGAATAGGCCTCCCCCATAGATTACTACAGCGAGTTGGTGATCGCAGTCTTATATTTTAGAGTTGTTATCAGGAAGATGCAGCTGCCCATCTCCTGTTTCAGTTTCCCTCTGCCTCCTCTTACGATACCCACGGGATGAAATGGGGTAGTGGATATTCCTTCACCGCCACTACACGGTACATGCTCGTTTACCCCTTAGAAAAAAACGAAAAATTAAAAAAATATCATGTGTATTATTAATTTTTTTTCACATTCTTACATTGTCATCAGATTCTGAGCTATGTTCAAAATTTCAAGCCTAGCTCATTGGTAAGTTATTTCAAAATCAATTACTAAATTCGACTATACAAACATACAAGAAAGCGCGTTAATAAAAACATAGTAAAATGCACCAAGAGAACAATTTTAAGGAATATTTAAGTGTCCTATATTCTTAGTATCAACTAGGTTCGCGGAGAATTTTAAAGATTAACTCTAAAATAAAACTATAAGTAATTTTCAAAAATTAGGAAAAAAGGAGGATCACCCCTTATACTCCTCGTGCCGAAGGATACTAAAGCAACCCTATAAAGCTATAAAATACTACTTAAACTAAAAAGAAATTTATGCATTTTTTTATACTTGATGATTTTATTTCATCATCGTCTAAAACATAATATTGTGTTGTTATGGGGAATATAAATTATCCTGGAGAGTAATTGTTTAGTACTATGAACGGTGAAAAACCCATGAAACTGAGTTAATAAATTCCGTAAAAATGACACAGGAGAAGAGACGCAGCATTTCAAAATAATAAAAAACTGCGCTAGCTAACATGCTTGCCAATTATGGCAACTATGGCAAATCCCATAAGGCATACATTACGGCGGACGCCTACATTCAACAGTGGACTTTTAACAGTGGGCTGTAATGAATGAATGGATGGATGAATGAAATACCAAGGGTTATGGTCACATATGAATGAATTCCTTTCACCTATTGCACCTTATTATGTTCGGATGGTAAAAATAGTCAACTGGTATTTTTATAATATGATGCTTCTCACATTATTTGTCACATAGTTACCCTTAATGTCATAGTACTTATATTTATTTAACCTGTCCTATAGTTAAACATACAATTAAACCTAACCATGGTTACAAAGTCACATGAGTTATGTTTACTCTAAACCATACAGTTTGAGCGTGCGGTCCATACTCGTGGAAGCTATGTACTGAGCGTTTTTGCCAAAGCGGACTCCTGTTGCTGAAGCGGTGTGATCGTTGAACACCTTCAACTCCTGCCACTGTCTACACAGATACACCCTCACATCCGTACCAGCTATGGCCAGATATGTACCACTCTGATCAAAGCACAACTCTTTAATAACGTATCCTTCTTCCAACTGAATGGTCTTGAAGTTCTTCAGCTTACGCAGATCCCACAGCTTCACACAAGCATCCTCAGCTGCTGTAGCAAGGTAGTAACCGTTCTCAGAGAACGATATAGACGTGACGGGGCCCACGTGACCAGGAAAGTTTGCGACATTGCTCTGTTCTTTCAAATCCCAGATCTTGACCTGCGAGTTTTCTGTGCCCGTTCCGAAGATAAGCCCGTCCGGATGGAACTGCGCCGTGGTGAGGCTGACGCCAGAAGAGTCGCTCACTTTGGTAAGCAGTGCACCTGTGCGGATGTCAGAGAAGGCCCAGTGCTGGTCAGTGGACGTGGAGAGAACATAGTCTCCAGTTGGGTGGAGCGACAGGCCTGTGACAGGGCCGTCGTGCGAACGGAGTATCACCGACGTCTGGGACCTGAAACAAACAATATTACACTTGAGAAATATTTTTACCCATTAGTTATTGATTCTTCGAGCTATATGGCCGGCGCATAGCCACTTCAGCTTTGTGGCATTCCTTGGGGGAGGCCTATGTTCATCAGTGGACTTTTCTAGACTGTAAAGATGTTGATGATGATGATGATTATGCTAGATGATACATACGTGGGCACGTTCCAGACGCGTATAGTGTGGTCCGGCGAGGCGGTGATGACCGTGTCCTCGTCCGGGTGGTAGATGACGCGCGTCACTTTCTTGGTGTGTCCCTTGAGGATGGCAACCACCTGCTCGGTGTCCTTGTTGAAGACAGTGGCGTTGCGGTCGTTGCCACCCGTCAGCAGCCGGCTTTGATCCGAAGGGTTGATGTCCAGCGCCAGGATGCCAGGCACACTGGCCGAGTGTAATCCCTGCACAAGTCAACGAAAACCTTTAAGAAACATTTTTTTTTTATACTGTGGCCTATAGATATTTACATCAATCCTTGTTGATGAATCAAAATGCAGATGCGTTGTCACCCCCGAGGACTAAGATGGAATGTCTTCATCATCATCATCATTACAGCCTTCACAAGTCCACTGCTGAACATAGGCCTCCCGCAAGGAATGCCATAAAGCACGGTCCAGAGCCATCTGCATCCATTGACTTCCTGCATGTCTTACCAGATCGTCACTCCATCTAGTGGGGGATGCCCTACACTTCGCCTGCCAGTACGAGGCTGCCACTCGAGAACCTTTCTTCCCCATCGGTTGTCAGTTCTTCGAGCTATATGGCCGGCCCATTGTCACTTCAGCATACTAATTCTTTGGGGTATGTCGGTTACTCTGGTTCTACTGCAAATATCCTCGTTTTTAAGTCTATCACGCAGAGAAACGCCGAACATAGCCCTTTCCATAGCTTGCTGAGCGACTTTGAGCTTCCTCATACGGTCAGCAGTAAACGATGGAATATCTTGTTTCCAGTAAAAAGGATCTCCAGTTTTCTACATTCACCACAAGAAACAGATGTAAGCATTAAGCTGCCATTTTATACCAGTATTCTGTGAGAGCATGGTCCTACTCCGGTTAAGCCAATCCATTTGTGCTGTAACCATAATATAGCTGCAGCATGGTTGTGCCACATATAAAATAACGATAAAAACAACACTGTAATGATCTATGAGTAGCAAATAAAATCTAATGTTTGTCAGAAGTTTAGTTTAGTATGTTTCAACACTCTCGTCATTTCGTTCCATGGTTATTGTAAGAGATAATTAAATAATAATAATATAATATAATATAGCCTTTATATCTCGAAACAAATAATCCTCTCTTATTCAGTTTTATTATATTATGTCTCTGAGTTCGGTGTGCCTCTTGGCAAAGGCCTCCTCTAACGATTTCCGTTGTTGCTTATCTTTTGCAACCCTTCTCCAGTTATAACCCACTGTTAATTTTAATTCGTCCTCCAATCTTTTGCATTGTCGACCTCTATTTCGTTTCCCGTTTCTGGGGTACCATTTGGTCACTATTTTGCTCCATTTATCTTGGGAGTTTAAGAAATAATTAAAGGAAATACCTTAAAAATATTATGGCTTCTGAGAGTGTGGTAAACAATATGGTTTGTTTACATCAGCTGTAAAATTTCTAGACTGGTAATGGATAGCAGCTTCAAAGATGCTCACGTCGCTACTACGATCGTCAATCTGCTTATTGAATTTACATTTTATGAAACTATAAAAGCATATTATCTAGTTAAGGAAGGAGGAAGGCCTGTATCTGGTTGAGCGGTTGCTGGTGTATGGGGTAGAGGTGTAAGTTTATGGTGTGGTGATGGTGGTGGTAGGTGTAAGCTGTAGTGGTTGCAGTGTATGGTGTAATGCTGGCGGTTTATGGTGGCTGGTGGTGGTAGCATAGTATGGTGTGACGTGTGGTGTTGTGGGCGTGATGAAATGGTAGTTACGGGATGCGAGGCGAGCGTGATAAAGGCCCGTATCTGGTCGGGCGGCAGCAGGCCCTCGGGCACGGTGCGGCCGCGGCGCTTGCGCTCCTGCGTGAGCGCGGTGGCGCGCTCCTGCAGCCGCGCCACCACCTCGCCCGACATCCCCACCGCCGTCGCGCCGGCCGCAACCCCACCCTCCACCTAACAACAAACACACACCCTGTAATGTGACAAACTGAACAGACTAGAGATTTGACGCCTTAGCAATGTATTACGGCGCCGAGGACCGCGAGTTTGAATCCTTGACGGGACAAGTATTTATATGGCCTATAAATAATTGTTAATACAAATAATTTGATGGAAGAAAAAACAAGTGGCTGCTGTGGCCCGTAGACAAATAAATATACAGGGTTATTTTGCAATAACCGGCCATAATTGCAGAGAAGGTTTAGTATAAGTAATATAGGCAAATGGTGAAGAAAAATTAATTTAAAAAAACTTCAATAATTCTGTCCTTTTTATCTTTTAAACTCAAATTGTATGGTAATGCATTATTTTAACTGATTTTACTGCACATGCACACATTTGTAAGATTCGACCGGTAGACAAAAACGTTGTTGCCCATAAATCACATTCCATTTGAGATAATTTCAAATAAAAGTAGAAGCCTTATTTACTTGTAATTTCAAAAACTGCAGTAACGGTAAATCATTATTTATATATTTGAACTTAAATTTAAAATTTGGCTACAGTTTGAAAATAACCCTGTATAGTTGTTCAAAAATGCATTGACATCCCTGAAAATCAAGTGAAAATGCTTCACTACTGACAAAAAGGGTCCAACTTGGCCTGCAAATAATTGTTCCGGGTCTGTATGTTCGTCATGCTGCAATTTATGTTTGTAAACTGCCTCCACAATACAGGAGAAAATCCTAGAATGGGGGTAACGTTTTTTAAATAAGAGAAAAAAAAGTCGTCACTCACTTAATGAAACACGAAAGCATTACGCTTCTATTAACCCTAGTAATACAAGTTACTGGGCCTTTCCTATTCGAGCCTACCCATTTGTAATTCTGCCTTATTATACTGCAGTGTCTACCATGGCAAAGCATACACATTCAGACTAAACAGTTCACTTTATCAAACATAATGCATACAGTAAAGCAGTGGAATAATTTACCAGCTAACTTCCCATCTAATTTGGCTGTTTTCAAGGCTATGGGCTTTTGTTAAGCTAAGTCAGTGCACTTTAACATCTTCAGCCGCCTCACCATTTACTATCAGGTGGGATGGTAGTCAAGCACTGGCTTATAATTAAAAAAAAAATTACCACCTTTAAAGGCAAAACCATTTAAAAGGTTAATAAAATAATTTTTCGCCTATCTCCAGTAATTTACGCAAGCGAGCACATACCGCATGCGTGGGTTGAGGAGCAACAACTGCAACTTGTGGCTTGAGCGTAGCTAGCGCCTCTCGGGCGGCCGTGACTTCCTTTGTGAGACGTGCGATTACACGACATGCTGCGTCGTGTTGATATAAAGCATGACTCAGTTCCTATAAAAATGTATTATTATTGTCAACAGAATAAATGCTTTTAAGGGAAACTAAGATGGTTAGCGCTCGCTGTAATTTTCACAGTACGCGAGAAACCCGGGTTCGATCCCCGCCGGCACCAATGAAATTGTTAATTGCAATTTTAAGTGCTGATTTACGACATGCTCGGCGGTGAAGGAAAACATGGTGAGGAAACCTGCATGTCTGACAAATAAGAAAAAATAAATATTTCGAAGACATGTGAAGTTCGCCAACACGCATTGGGGCAGCGCGGCGGACCTTTCCTTGCCCTAAAACCCTCTCAGAAATGAGAGGAGGCCTGTGCCCAGCAGTGGGACGTGTATACGGGCTGTAACTTTAACTAATATGTTGCACAATTCGCTAATCACCTCATTCCTGGGGTTCATCATAATTCATTTATTCAGTGATTTCATTTATTCTTTATTGCATTCCTTAATATAAAAGAATACAAAAGGGTGGACTTAATGCCTTGTGGCATTTTCTACCAGTCAACCAAAATGGAGAGGTGAGAATTTGAAGTAGGTGTAGCAATATAGAATAAAAACAAAATAGAAATTTATAAATAATTACGTTATATATACATTTTACTAATATATACAATAAATAAACTATAAAAATATATCCTATTCATACCCGGTTTCTGAAGTTCCTAGTTATCTTCCTATTAGTTATTGATTCAATAAAGTTATCTATAGGATAAACGTCGGTTAACTGTCACTGCGTTTCTGAATACGCAACGAATCATTTAAGGCGCAGGTTGAGCAAAATGTCGCGCTAGTCGTTATTTGTGCGGTTTTTAGGAGCTATCTACTTTTTATTTAAAAGATATATCAACAAATAAAAAACACATTATATTTCTACATAATCTTGATTCCATAAAAGCTATATCCAATTTTTTTTAAGGAATAAATATTAATATAATCTCCTTACAACGAAACCACATAAATGTGAAATTATTATTGATAACATGCATCTCCTCGTAAAGTAAGTATTATTTTATTTTGCGATTTACACCAATGGATAGGCAATTTATTAATGAACATTTCTATAGTAATTTTTTTTTCAAAACTCCAAAATTTGTATTTATTAAAAAATTATTTTAAAATCTGGGCATATTCACTGCTCACGGGCTTGCTGAAGTCAGTGAGCGCTGAGCTCTTCGACGTGAAGCCAGTGTCGTTAGAGCGTCGACCAGCGCATACGCTCACGTCATATCAATCGATAATATTATTACTTATTAGGTTATTTATAGGTAATATTATTTGTTTGTTTTGGGTATAATTTTTCGTATTAGTTATATATATACATTTGTTGTGTTTTTTACTGCGCGATGAAGCTTTTTGCGTGTATTTTCTTTGAAGTAAATGCAAATAAAAAAATGAAGCACCATTAGCATGTAAGGTTCGAATCCATAATAAAAATTTCGACAAATATAATTTACACTATAAAAGACTAATTCAATATTATCACCCAACCACAATATCTTATTAGGTATAGTACTGCCTCGTTGGTCTAGTGGTTGTAATAGTGCGACTGCTGATCATGAGGTCCCGGGTTCGAATCCTGGGTCGGGCCAAAAAGTCAGTTATGTGTTTTTCATTTATGTTCTAAGTTATAATTAGTATTACTAAGTTATAGTTTTTTGCTAAAATATAGTATATTATTTATTGCTTGTTTTTTCTTCTTTTTCAAAAAATAATTGAGTACATAAGGTGTTCTATACTTATAATTCGGTAAAAAGTATCTAAGTAGGTACTAATATACCTACTTTTTACTATTAACTAAAAATTTTTAAAACTAAATTTAACTAAAAAGACTAAACTGACCATTTATTTTTTAACTCACAACAGGACATGGGTTTATTTATACTCTAAAAACTATAACTTTATACAATTAGTGTTCACTATAAAATTATATTCGATATCTAGACGGTAATTATTAAATGCAACATATTTATTTAAATTATTAATTACATTTGTAAGTGGATTAAATTTGCTTTAATAAAGTTGGTGATGATTTTAAATAAGAATAAAATTCTGCTCAAGTTTTTTATTGTTATCTTTGTTAACAACATCGCCTTTAGAACTCTGGAACCGTAAGTGTTTCTTTCAGACGTCCACAATTTATTCAAAATAAAAAAATACTCTTTCTACCGGAGCATTCGTACCAGGTAGACATAAAATATATTCGATTAAAAAAAATTATGTTGAAGATTGTTGACTTTGAATACTTCCATCCAACGAGTTACGGGACAATTTTGTGTCCCGGAGCTTTGTTTGGGGACAATGGGACAGGTGACCGAGAAAAGGGACAGTCCGGTTCAAAACGGGACGTATGGTCACTTTAGCTATAACCCGGCGACGGCTCCGTGGTGCAGTGGCTTAGCAATCAGTTGTTGCGCTGGGGGCCGCGGGTTCGAATCCCGCACGGAACAAGTATTTGTATGGCCTACAAATAATTGTTCCGGGTCTGGATGTTTGTCCTTGTGCAATTTATGTTTGTAAACTGCCTCCACGACACAGGAGAAAATCCTAGTGTGGGGGTAACGTTTTTTTACAATTGAAATTGAAAGATTGAACCCTTATACTTCTTGTTGATTTTTGTATTACCTTTATTAAAGTTACCCTTATGTATAAATAAATATAATTACGTATGTAGAAATAAAATTGATTTTCATCCTCATCAATCATTGGGGTGAGGATAATGTCTGTCAGCATAAGTAATAAGCAGGCTAAGTTACAAGGTGCTCAGTTCAAAAATTAGTAGGTAGGTGTTGAAGCGCCTGTCAAATTATATTAGCAGTTCTCATGCCAATATTAGTCCGTAAGCTGTGTAGGTATGTTTAAAAAAATGTTGTACCTGTCGTCGTTGTAAAATTTAGAGATCAAGTAAAGGTCAATTGAGCAAATTACTGCATTTTACTATTAAAAAGAGATCAAATTCCTATTCATGGTCCTAAATCGAAGCCGGATTTGAAAAAACGTAATTGGACAAGATATTATTTAGTGGAATACGCTTGGGAAGTCTTAAATATTCGTTGTGGAAATACCACCGAGGGAGTGAAGATATTTAACCAAGAAATCTGGAGTCTTAGCCCCTTAGATATTGGACTATTATTTAATTTATTTAACCCAGCACTCATTATCAGGTAGTATTTTGTGTAAATCGACTGCTAATTTATCAGGTTAGTACCAAATTACCTATAAAATAATTACGTATAACTTAAAGTATTTAATCGGCTAAAATTCATTTAATATTGTTTTATATAGTTTCTAATAACCGTCAAATCATGATTAAATCAAATTATAAAGCTTAGTTAAATTATATTGACGATATTATAATTTTTTTTTTTCTCTTTATTGGTTTAAACTGTTTTTTAAAAAATAAGTCAAGAGAGTGTATAATTGAAAAAATTGCATAATATTATTTATTACATACTAAGGCATACCTGTGAAGCTGTTTGATGGTCTGAATTGTATTTGTTACCCTTAATTGTTGTTAATTATAAAGTTAAATATCAAGGTAGTACATGTACCATTTTGTTTAATTATTTAAGAGTTTGAAAAATAAGTAAGGGAATTAGTTTTCATTTCTTTACAACTGTAAGCAAAATTGTATAAAACTACTTATGAATTATATTTTATAAAATATAAACTTCTTGTTTGTATAAATTTCAGGCATTTGCACTAGTCTCCCAATACCAGCCAGCATGCCAGAAGATAAGGAGCAAATTAGGAAACGAGCTAGTTACAAGGGACAAATAACAGCTTTTTCAAATTATTTAAATTCACTGAAGGTATCTTCATTGGCTGCTACTGAGGTAAATGAGTTGCAATTACGTATTAGTAGGATTGAGTCAATGTATGAACGATATGATGAGGTACAATTATCCATCGAGTGTAATACTGATAATATAGACGCCCAGATATCAGAACGACCTGATTTTGAATCCCTGTATTTTAAATCGCTTTCTCTTGCAAAAGGGATCTTAGCAGATTGCATTAAGTCAGATGACGTAAGCAGTGACGGTGGCTCTCATTCCGGCAATCATAAATTTGTTAAACTGCCCACTATTCAACTACCTAAATTTAATGGTTCTTATGATAATTGGTTAGAGTTTCATGACACGTTCATGAGCCTCATACATTCAAATGACGAGATAGATGACATAAATAAGTTTCACTATCTGAGAGCGTCGTTGGAAGGGCCCGCTGCTGTGGTAATACAGTCAATCGAATTCTCGGCAGCTAATTACACCGTCGCATGGACTATATTATGTGATAGATATGATAATAAAAGACTACTAATTCAAAATCACGTGACAGCCTTATTTAATATAGCACCAATTAATAAAGAATTGTCTGTCAACTTAAAACGTCTTATTGACCAAATAAATAAAAATTTACGTGCACTAGAATCTCTCGGTGAGCCAACTAAACAATGGGACACACTTCTCATTCATATTATTACTCAAAAATTAGATGCTAAGACATATCGTGAATGGGAAGAGTCTAAAGGTCGTTTGGAGAAAGATACACCTATTACGTTCGATATATTTTTGATGTTTTTAAAAAATCGAGCCGATTTAATCGAAACACTAGAAATGTCTAATTCTGGTGCTACTAACCGTTTAAATTCTTCTATAAAATATGCTCCAAAAGTTAGGGCAATGGTTTCAGTGCGGGATACCGGTAATAAAAACGGTTCGGCCTTTTCCGCCAAACTGTGTCCTAAATGTAAGGGTGACCATAAGTTAAGCAGTTGTCCTCAGTTTCTTGGATTAAGTAACGATGTGCGTCTACAGTTACTGCCAGAGTATAAAGTATGTTTCAATTGTCTTAATTCAGGACATTATGCAAATCACTGCAAAAAGCCAGGATGCAAAATATGCCACCGAAAGCATAACACTCTCGTGCACGTCGCAGATTACCAGTCAAAACCAATTACAGATATTAATACATCTAACACGAGTAGTGGTA